GGAAAAATCTCGGAAAAATCTCGGAAAAATCGAAAATTTTTTTGTTGTTGTTTATTATTAGCAATGTTCTTCCGACGTCTGATTTCTGTTTAAAAAATGCGTTTCTAAAGTGCATAAACTTTTGGGATTGATTGTATAGCCAATACATCCTTAAGTCAAATCCGATCTTCAAACTCGATAGAGTCATTTTTTATTTTTAAAATCATCTTCGGCATGAAATTTGTTTGAGGAATTGGAAGGAAAGATGTTCGGCAATCGGTGAAGGGACTGTCAGTCATTCTGCTAAACCGGCCGGTTCCCAAAATACATTCAACGGTTTGCGTGTGGTCAAAGCAATTAGAACACTTCGGACCGTTGGTCCTCTACTTCGCAGGAAGATGCTTCCCAAGATTCATTGTCCGCCGCTTTCATATTTGATGACAGACACTTAAGCAGCACGATCGGCGTTACTAACTCATGCTTAATTGCGAACTGATGTTGCCGTGAGAAAGGAGAAGGATCCACGATTTGAACTCGGCTCGTTAATAAATGGAATTCGTCGGAGTGGTTTCTTTTCTGACTTATGATGTTAATGGAGAGGCTTGTTCTAATTCAAGGTACCTATCCATTTCCTCCTCGGGACTTAATTTAAATATTCAGCAGGTATATCGATCCACTTGACAGATTGATTTAGCTTAAGATATTCAAGAGCCGGCTGGCCATTATCGAGATCGCTCCAGTGATCGCGATGGAAGTTGATCAAAGTTCGACGACCACGGTCCGTTTTCTGGTAAACAAGTCGGACAGGGGTGTCGCAGGTAAGTGCATAAAATTTGGTTCAAAATCCCGTGTTGTTCGTTCCGTTGGATCACGGCTTCTCTGCTGGATCGTGGAAACCGGTTGCATCAGGATTGTTCTTTTATCACGCGTCTATATTTAGTGGGTATCATATATGACAACACGGGATCGAGCCATTCTTCTTCTTGCTGCGTACAGGAGCTGGGGGAAACAAGAAAGCTGGCGCCAGGAGAACGCTTCAAGGAAAAACGATTAGGCTGTCTGGATAATGGGTATTCGGTTAAAGCGCAGTTAACAATTACTTTAATCACTCATTATCAAAGAATGTACTCACTCGAGAACAGTGTATCCATGTAAAAAGAACCGATGTCTTAAGTCAGGGCCACTGTCCCATTACAAGGTCATGTATCACAATCATACGCGTGGTACTCACACTCTGTCTTTCCTATTGATGAGGAAAACACATGTGTATTAGAGTTTCACACGCTTTATGACTTATATGAGACATTTTAATGTTACATTATTAAATAAAATATGTTTGAAATAATTTTGGCTTGGCTGAAATTCTCTAATAAAGAAAGACAGGATTACTATAAAAGTTCGTCGGCTATTTGTCATTCATCCGATTTTACGGCCATCGCTTCGGTTTTCTGACGAGGACAAGGGTCTTAGTTTGTTCTTTATAACTTTTTATGCGGCATAATCGTTTCATAAATTCTTGGCTAACGGGTTTCTATCCACGTGGGACTGTAATGGTCCAGATAAAACTAAAAGTGATGGCGCCAGCAGAATCTGATTCTTATTACCAAAACTGAATTAATATTTATACAAAAGACTCGAATTCACCTTGAAATAATCTCAGCTAATCCTTGAGGAGATCTTAAAATGAATAGACCTGAAGTAAATGTTTCTCAGGATATTTTCAGGAAGTGTTGGGTTTCTCGTGCAATAAATGAAGGAATCGCAATTTTATAAAACGTACTAATATAATATTTATTGTTTGCAATAAACAGAGCAATATAATATCACCTCTGGCACAATCTCACGATGGCAAGACAACGCGAAAACGGTAGTATATTTCGGTATTCTCGCATATCATTATAAATGTGTATCTGTTCCGCAATTTTCGTCCTTGGCTGCTCTTAAACAAAATAGTACACTCAGCGCGCGTCCGGCCAGCGAAACTGAAAACCGACCGGTTTCCCATCGTTCCTTGCTTTGCTCGCGCGGCGACATACACTCTCTAACGGAAAATTAATAAGGCTGAGGCCTGTTTCGCATCGTCGTTTTACGTCGTTTAAGTACGATAACGAGACGGCTGCGAAGCGATCACGGAAAGACCGCCTCGCGATGCTCAAATAGTTACAAGCAACAATCGGCCGACTCCGACATCAGGTAGTCTCGCTGCGGCCTTTCCTTGACGGTGACGCGGCCGCCTTTCGTGATACATCATTAATTAATTAATAATAATAAACGCAAGGGATTATAAGAGTTGACACGATTAGCAGTAAAAATCGATCATGGACGCACGACGAATCTCATTCTATCGCTTTATTGAGACCCGTCTTAGAAATGAACGAAACTACTGGACTGATCGAGGATTTTTGGGGTGATTTGTGGCGTGGAGTTCGACGTGTCGACAGGATGGGGGGGGGGGGGAGGCGATTACGAATAAAGATGTCATGGAGCAACGCCAACAATCTTCGTGTTCTCGGGTATGTACTTATTTATCTCTCTTCTCTTCACACGTTCTCATACTTTTCTCAGACATACAGATCTCTCCCATTCGTTCTTCTTATATACTTTCACTCTCTCACTCTCTCTCTCTCTCTCTCTCTCTCTCTCGGTTTCCTGCTCTCGCACCATGAAATTCACGCATCCCTTGTATAAAAATAATAACTATAATAATTATATAATGATATATACGTATTACGAAGCTAGTCGATAGAATCGAATAATATTAATAATATCAAACTATGTGCTGCCTTGCAATAGATGTAACAAAATATAGTACTCATATAATAATAATATGCATTTTACAAGCGTATTTTGATCCTTGCTTTGATATCGATACGTGTGTATTTAATGACATTTCTTTCTCTTGCCCTATTCCTAACGCAAGAACAATATGGAAACAAATAATGGCGCGCGCGCGTGTATGTGTGCGTTTGTGTGTCGTGATCGCTACTGTTCTCTAGTCCATACCTAAACGCGACTAATTAATGGATTTTTATGAACGTATGTAAGTATGACCGTATGTATGCGTGCTCGTGCGTGGCGTAATCTTACAATAATAAGAATCACGCTGTACATGCGCGTGCGACGAAAAAATGGCTCGCTTTCACCAGTGGCACGTTAATGTTCGCTTCGCCTTAAAAACAATCACTGGTCCGCAGGCTATCCGATAGTTTTTGTTACGCATTGCCGCTCGTTCGTGTCAACGACGTCCACGCAGAGTCGTTGATTATGTCCGTCGCGTAGGTCCTGTCTCTGCCATAATCAAGATAAACGTGGGCTTTACATTTTTCAAGTTAACCAACCCTTCGAGAATGAAAAACGATCGAGCTTATAATATAAAATTCATAAAATCATTCTCAGTGCTTCTACCTTGTTTTTTCGGAATATAATTTTGTCTCCAAAGGATTGCCTAACGTCCGTGTGCCTAATATAACGTATCTACGTATATTAGTCTAATCTAAATCGCAAACGCGTATTTTCCTTTCTCTTTCGTGATATGATATAAAAAAAAAAAAAGAATTACGTATTTCAGTGAGAGTAATACTTGCTCTTTGTATAATAATATCAAAGGATCCTGGGATGCTCAGGAGGTTCTGGAATGACAGCGAAATACCTAAGGGATGTACTTAAACGAGATTACGTAGTTGATCGGATTTAACTCGGTATAAATAATAGGTAATGAGAATGAACCGTTGATGGAAAGTAAAGGTAGGGGAACTATCGTGAACAGGCGGAAGAGGAATCCTTAATCTGTATCTTATGCGAGCGTAAAAACTATTGGAGAGATAAAATGCTCGATGGCACCCGGTCTATCTTGTAATGGCGACGTTCAGCTTCGCTTGGTATCATATAAAATATAAGCTTGCTTCGTTTGCTCTTCGATCGGTCATGATCGATTAAACATATAAACAATATATTTAAACTCTAAAAATCGACGATATGATAGAGTGGCGTTTTCATATACATCTATACGTTATACGTATAATATATATATGTATATATATTTATAACATATAACTTAACGTTTATCGGTTTTACCGGGAATGAGGACAGAGGGATGCGGGGTTCCTTAAATCAATTTTGATTGATTTACATCATAGTTATTGCGTTTCAATTACGACGCCAACGGTACTCTAGAAGCTAACAACCATCGATATAAATTGTTCACAAGTGAAAACAAACAAGAAAAAATATATATATATAAAATAACGAGTTGCCTTCTAACGGCTAGAGATATATCTAATTCTTCGCGAGCTTCAGCCCCGTGTACGAAGACGCCTGCGCTCACGCAAGCCGTTTGATCGCAATAGTGTCTTGTGAACCAGCAGACTTGGTACCGACCAAGTATTTCTACGAGAGACTCGAAAGACACGAAAGGAAAACAATATCGCGCAATAAAGCTACGTCTATCTCATCGAGATCATGTACAACCGATCAAACGCGCCTAACCATATACACGAAACTCCGTGGAGCCGCTTGCATGTCAATCGTTAACAAATACCATCTTCCAAGATGTTGCACATAACGAACCACTATCAGATAACAAAGGTTTCTATTCTTCTTCTAACTTCTTAAATTGTATTCTTCGATTTCCTGTTGCCTTTCCAATTCAGCTTGTTTCTTCTTTCTTCTCCTAACGTAAAGACGAACTCTGGTAGGCCATGCCATCTTCTTCATCTTCTTTCTTCCGAACGAGGTCCCTGAAAAGCTGTCCCTTCGTTGTCAAACTGTACAGCGAGTCCAGTTTTACAATTGCACCGAGTCAACGATTCCTCGTCGATGGCTGCTCTCAGACTTCATATTTATTTACACGAAACGACGAAAGCTACTGGTACTATAGGTACATTCTTGCTTTTTCACTCCTTATCTTCGTTCACGTGTTTCCGCTCTCGTGAACGTGAGGATGCCCGTGCGTGGAGTTCGTCAGGGGCGAGTGAGCTATGTGAGCCGGCGACGAGGGCAGCTCGATCAGAGTCACGTCGTATCCCGTGGGCGCCGGTGGATCTCCGGGGTCGCCGGGATCGCCAGGCGATCCGGGATTGGCTTGGCTGCGATCGTTGCTCGGGTCCGGGTTCACTCTAGAGTGCGTCACCTCCAACAGGAACAGGTCCTCGTCCACGTAATATCGAATCATGTCGTCGTCAATTTTCGCTGTAATTCTGCAACAGCGAGAAGAGGCCTTAGATTAAGAATCGTGGATAGTGCTAGGCGATCAGCTACCCTGCTTAAAATCGAGAGACGAAGTATCGAAAACGTGGCTGGAAAGATTTAGCAAACGAAATCGTGTAATTACATGTACGACTAATTGCAGTGACAGGAAGATCGTACGCTACGATTTGTACTCCGTTTCGTGTTTGGTGTCAAGGGGCAGGAAACAAGTTCGGTCGCATGTCCCGATTCGTTTTCGTGTTGCGATTAACATTTTAAGCAGAGTACAGTTTGTGAAACCGTTGATGGTTCCGAACGCGCGATTGATACAAAAACGGATTTGTGACGATCCCATCAACGGCAGCGGTACCGAAATATCCCGTCTTAATAAGAATGAATCAAAGTAAAACGTTAAGCAAAAATCTACCCTGTTTGGAAAGAAAGAAACAGGCGAGTCAAAAGGAAAAGAGACGAGTTCGAGACGCAAAAAACACAGCTAGTCAGGCGAACGAAATGCATGATGGGTTTGAAAGGTGGAAGTACATGCGTTATAAGCGAACCGAGCGGACAGGCATGCTTGAGCGGTCGTGACAGAAGCCAAATAAAAGACACACGTTAGAGATTAGTGGATTACTTAAGAGCCGAGGGAGAGGGGCGGAGATCGGTGCGGCCTGGGACAAGGATTCCGCGGGACGAGCGAATGATATAAGAGCAACACGTTAAAAAAGAAAGAGGCAAGCAGAGATATAGCGGTACCGAACCAGTAAAGGAAGTGATTAGTCAGTAAGAAGAGGTAGAGAAGATAGCAGAGTGAATGCGGTTCGTATCGCAACGGGGGTGTGTAAGAAGGTGACGGTGGTGTCGGTTCCGGAAGTCTAGAGGAGAGACTAGCAAACCAGGCAATCGGAGAGAGTCAGGCAATGTCACCGTTATGGCATGCACTACTGCGTGGGCGGTGCATGCAAGTAAAGATGACACTCTACTAAACTTACCCCTTTGTGTTTTTGCGATAGAGGTTATTAATACTCGAGGATGCAATTTTGTACTTTGACTCAATCTGTAAAATAGAAAAAAGTAGAACATTAGAATTTTGACAGTGTTTGACGGATCGTCGATCTTCGGGTACACGTTAACTGTTCTCTGTCTTTTCCTTTCGTAACGCGGCGTTCAAGAGATAGAAACTTGTACAAAGAGAAATGAAATAAGAACAATTTACAGAAACACGATGTTTCATCGTTCGTAAAACGAACGTCGCGATGAATAATCAATATGCGCGAAAATTAGTCAGCGCGATCGTTCATCACGGAGAAAGGGATTCGTTACTCCGCGAAAGAAGCAACAAACGCGCGCGTTACGGGATGAAAGGAGGACGCGGTTAAAAGAGAAGTCACGGATACTTTTTTTTTCCACTTTTTTCTTCTGTCACATCTGATCGTTATCACAACAATACGACCCTGCGTACGTGCGCTGCCGATCGATAATATTGTCATAAAAAGAGATATAAAACGAAGGAGATTGAAATCATCGACGTATGCTTCATCGATAGTGTTTTCATCGATACTGTTCCATTGACATCACGTTTCTGCGTGACATAGAGCATACGAATAAAAATCTGATTGGATGAAACGACTGTCAATGATTTCAAACTGATCCACGAAACCATACCTCTAACGTCGAAACCATCGATCGTTCGTCGCGATCAACAGGGGTTAATACGAACCGTGCGCATAGTGATTGATCGCGCTCCGACCCGTATTAATTATTGCAAGGGATTTTTGGAGGAGTGATGCATGCGCGTTAATATTAATGTCAGCGTAATGGAACGGTGCAACAGGTATTAATAAAAATTGCGTAGTTTATAATATGCCCTCGCATGCATGGTCCATACTTGTAATGAACGTACGTAAGTGCTTGTACATCTAAATAATAATATAGGTGTGTTTCTTGTATCTATACCTCTCGTGTTACTCTCACGCATCACTCATTGCTCAAACCGCGGGGCACGGGCTGTCAAATCGAACACGGCCCCGTGGAAACGTGATAAATTGGACACGTCAAGATATCACCGGCTTACGTCGCGAACGTCGAAACGTTCCCTCCGAAGCGTGTCACTTTCTAGTTAAGGATTTGTTACACAGTATTTCGAAACGTCTGCGTGTCGCGTCAACGTAAATATGCATAAAGTGACGGAAAAGCTGACTAGAATTCGATTGCACCCGGACTTAACGTGGTTCACTTATGCAACTCGACCGCCTCGTTTCCGCGAGATATGATTTCGCCGCTAACATTTTCCTGCCCTTTAGAAACCGATCGTACGTTGACCGAGACAACGCGATTTTCGATCGAATCTCTTCCTACCAGTTGTGTATATCTCACCCTATCAGTCATTCCCATGCTTGGTGACAAATGACGGTCCGAGAACTTAGGAATAAATTTCCATCATCGCGGTTCACATTTAACTCGGCGATTCATTTAATCTAATCCCCGACGTTTAAACTCTTAACATTTCTCACCGGTATTTAGCATGGAGAATGGCTGACAACGGGTGGTCTGCGTGTGCGTCTAGGTGTCGATGTTACGTGGCTAAGTGCGTGCTAATAAGAACTAGTAAAAATCCTTGACATTTCTTACAGCATTCAACAGTCCTTGAACGGTCGGCGGCGTGACATGAAGCGGCGTGTACACGTCCTCGGACTCCTGGCGAACGTACAGCATCACTCTCTCCTCGGCGTCAGTCGGGCGAAGATGCGGCGGCTGCTGCTGCAGATGCAACCGATTCCCAACGCCGGAGACGACGGTCCCGGCCAGGCCAGTCTGCTGCACGCCCTGCAGCACCGAGCCCTGCAGCTCCTGTACCTGCATCAGCAACGAGTCCTTCTTGTCGTGCAGGCTAGTCAGATTGTCGGGCGGAAAGTGGTTGTGGAACTTGAGGGCCGGTAGGCTCGGTCTGCCGCAGGCAGGATAAGGGCTGCTACCACCCGCCTTCAATCCTCCGCCCTCGCCATTACTCAGGGACGATGTGTCTGTATCGCCACCGCCCCCGCCGCCACCTCCGTAGAAGCCCGACAACTCCATCGTCGAGAACTGTCGTAAAACAAGAAACACACATTGTTTTTTTCTGATTTTCCTTAAATTTCGAACGAGCTACTTTCTGGCTTGCGTTCATTTGTAGGAGTCGAGGCTAGCAAACGCCCGACGATATCGCGTCTCCTAATGTTTTTCTTTTCAGAGAATTTCGTATTTTTAATTAAAATTATTACTGGCTGATTGGTTGGATACGTTTGATACATTTTTATTAAACGTTCCCGGAATTAGATAATAGTTTTCATTATGGCGATGTAAGAGTTGCGGTTAGTGGAGAGTTTCGGCGGTATTGAGAGCAGAGGATCGTGGTGGATATTACGTAGATATTTCAGGGGTCGTTCTGATATAAAATCTGATTAATTTCTTATCCCAATCATTTTATAGAATCGTTACTCGGGATAGTAACACGTTCACGGGCTCCTCGCAATAAACTCGTATGCGTGTACGTGTCCGTGAAGGTGTTGGAGTTCGAGAAGACGGACTAATATTATATCAATTTCCTCGTGGACATGAAAACGTACTTTGTAAGACGGATACAATATTCTCTTTACAATGGCCGTATAATAGTATTGCTACGAGCACTGTCATGATCGAACCTGTGCGTCAGACAGGTCCGAAAAAACAAGATAAGAAGGTAGCTATCCATAAACAGTTTCGTTTAATCGAAAGTACCTTGTCTATGGTGTGTTCAGGCGGCGAGAAGAGGACGGGTGGTTTGTGAAGATCGACCATCGAGTAAAATTCGCTGCGTTCCGTGACGGAGTGATACAGCTCGTCGAGCTTTTTCCTACCGGTCGCCGTCATCTTCCTCTTCGCCGCTCTCCTTTCCTCGTCGCGGGTCTTCCTTTCAGCTCCCTGTGCGTAAATAATATCACGATGATTCGTGCGATCGATCTCGTACCCCCGTGGTTTCATTCAAATCGTTCGATCGAACGATTTCCAGAGAGGGGGTGAAATCAAAAGTGCGTATGCGTACCTTATCGCAGAACACTTTGATCTGGCAGTAGCCACGATGCGAAGGTGGCGTGTATGTGTGTGCGTGCGGCGGCGGTTCCTCGTACGTATCCACCTGGATATGTAAAGGCAGACCTTTCACGCCCTTTTGGCTGGAGAAGTCCGTGCTGAGACACTGCACCGCAACATTGATCTGTAATATGTAAATCGACCGAATACAATTAACCATCGACGAGGAGAGGTCGTTTGTTTCTACGAACGTTTGCTTTGAATAATTATTTGACGTCCGGAAAATTTTATTCGTATCACAGTTCCACTGAATTAGTCAAATTAATATTAATTTAACCGCAAAATAGTGTTTGTACCAAGTAGCGAGTTATGACTCGCGCACCGCATGAATAAGCACGGTTTCTATCTAAGCCTCCCATAGATTGTAAAATGCAAATGGAATCTCTTTAATGAATGATGAAGGACTCTCTCGTACCTTCGCCGAGGATTCGAGTGGGTTCCAATAAACGGCGATCGCATTGTGTGCAACTTCCTCTATGCAGCCCACCAGTCCCACGCTGTTCTTCGTGTCTGTAATGGAATAGATCATTGTCAGAGTTGCAAATCATTTTACTCATGCGCCACGAAAAGAGCGCGGTCCTCTCGTTTCGACCATAGCCCGTCGCACGGATGCGTCTAAAGTAATCTTACCGAATTTGCGACAATCCTGCGTCAGACAGCTTGCGCAAAAGATATAAATCGCTTTTATCATTACAGTCTTTTTAAGGTCGCTGAACGACACACTTACACGTTCGTAACGAAACAGTTTAAAGAAGGTACCAACTAATTAGGAGGTAATTGTGTCTCCCATTTGCTCCCCGAGGATTTAATGGTCCGCAGGTCGGTGATTCTGTACGGTTTACTTACCGGCATCGAGAATACGTTGCTTGACGGAGTGTTGCCTTCCGTGCCAGAACTGCCACGCCTTAATCTCGTCTTCTGGGCTCTTCTCTTCTCGGAACATCAACATTACCACGCTCTATGCGACAAAACATCAAGAAAATACTGTAAGTACTTTATTAACCGCGATTCTGCAAGGGCAGATGAATGGCTTCCGCTGACGCGTTTCGGCTCCGCCTTTTTGCTCTTTTTAACCCAAACGGGTTAAGTAACTTCTTTAACATTATTCTCGCCAGCTCTTGTGGTACACGTTTCTTTATCGCGATCACTTGATAGACAGTTTTAAGAGTTCGCGTATCGTATCGGGAAAAAAAAGTTTCTTTTCTACGTTTCGCGTTGCAACGTGAATTTAGTGTGTGTAATTCCAGCTATTATTGTGCTCCCCGATCCCTTTTGACAGATCGAGACGGTACGAGGCGAAAGTACTGAACTGTTTACAACTAACACTTGATATCTAGAGATCTAAATAGGCACGGAGCTGGAGGTAATAATGATCAGGTGCGAGCGGGCTCGCATTAAGACAGAAGGTGATCATTACGAACACTTGGTGCCAGGATAAGCGCATGTACGAGCAGTTGGCTATAATTTCAGCCCCATAAGGCTGCGGTTACGCTGGATGCGATTTCTGACGAACTAACGTTCGGACAAACACGTCCGAATAATCAAATAAATAAATTCTTATGGGTTTCTTTCGTTAAAAGTTGCACGAATTCGTCAGAATAGATCCATCGTGCGATAGCAGGCTATCAATGTATTTTTTTATTTTTGTTACGATTACAGTCAGAATTATAATACAAGAGATCTAACACGCAATCATATAAATCTTTACTTGTTTAACATTTGTTTTATAGTGGATACTGCCCACTGTCAGGGTCCTGTAATCACTTCGACGAGGTGAAACCTTAGGTATATTCTAGCAATACATATTTTAGAAAGTCCTCGGCTAAAATGCAATATCAAAGACGTTTTACATTATGCATAATAGCGTTTTTTAGTTAAACCGCTATCGCTTACGATCGAAAACGTTTCCCCGTAAATGACTAACTTCTAAGAATAAAACGCGGAAAAGTCAATCATCCGCGATCGAATCGGAGAGTTTAGATCCCTGGTCGCGGCGCCGAGGAGTGCGTCCGAGCGCACGCATGACTACACGCATCATAAATTACACGGTAGCGTGTAATTATGTAACGCAGATTATAGATCCCGACGCGGACAGGCTGCGCCGCGGCTGGTCGTTATTTTTCGGATTCTACGCATAATAACGAGCCCCCCGGTATCGTTTGCTCACAATGATCCGCGGAGACAATGCTCGGCCGATCGGTAACGGAACAGTGTCGCGGAATTCGCTGACGCATCCGACGGTGGCGTCGGCCGCGAGATTCGCGTGAGCGTGCCATCTTTTACTTACTGTTGTACACGCGCGACACGCTCGACCGAGCGGCCGGCTAAAACGCGTTTCTATAAATCACACACTGTACCGTATAATCCAGTAGCATAAATTCTAACATTCGACACTGCTAATTCCTAATAAACGGTGCGACACTGCATGTCTGTAGTTTTTCAGTATTATTTCCAACGAGTCTGACCGGCTACAATTACGTTGATTAATTACGTTGACAGACGCAGTCGAACAATTTTGTCGTTCATTTGAATTTTTAAACTGAATGCGCTCCGCGGTTAAATATCGATCTGAGCTAGGCTAATCGAACGCTCCGGTCGTTCGATTAGTATGGCTGCCATCGATCTATTGCGACAGTCCTCGTTGCTGTAATTACCGGGTATAATGTTTAGCCGTGCGAAGTCGAGCAAGGGAAAAGTTTTACAAAGTGTTACGGATTGCACGGGACCTGAGACGATGCCAATAAAACGATGCGAGATAACGAAAGTAACGCGTCACGTACTTCTCCCGTTTAAAGGCAAAGTAGGTATTTTACATACGTACGTAGTTCTACGGTAAGTCTCGCGATTAGTTCGAGTGCCAATGGAAGTCTCATTATGCTGTCGTAAATTTTAACAACGTTATGATCCGCGTTTTTACGAAGTGATTTATTAAACGTCGATAGCTTTCATAAGTTTCCTGAAAGAGGTTGCATGGGATCGTACGGTAGGTTAGAAAATTTTTATTACATTACAGACGACAAACACTTAAACCATTTGTGATAAGAGCCGTGTAAACACAGTTGGTAACGGTTGCCCGTAATAAAGTTCTAAACAGTAAGCTACTGTCGAAATAACAACAACAGAGTGCTGCACGGCGCGGTATGGTATGCGTGCGCGTGACCAATTCGATCGAATAGAGACTTCTATCGCGTTTAATCCAGTTCCTTATTGTCCGGCCGTTTAAGTTGCGCGATCAGATAACGGGTAACCTTCGCGAACCAGTTACGACACGTGTCTCCGTGCCGTTTTCGCGGGTTTAACATTTCTAACCGCGTACAGATTGCCGACAAATAATTTAGAATCAGGCGACCGCGTTCCCCGCTGGACTCGCGCGCGGCTGCGTGCGTTGGTCGGCGTGCCGTTCAATGAAAAATCGGCGTCGTTGAGCCGTCAACGATAACGCGTGTTTCGCGTGAGCGTGACATCGGCTGCCGCGACAGAAGCACGCTCCAGTGGCCATACTCTGGCGAGCACTCGTGTTCCCGAAGGATTTTTCGTGATCCGGGTGAATGGGCGAAGGATTGCGCGCACGCCGTGCAAAATACGAGTTTAGTGGCCGTGGTTAACGCGGAGGAAGACGGAGAAAGCGCTCGTAGCGTACGACGATAGGTTCCAACGCGGATGTAAACACGGTTTGGACGAAGAAAGTAAAGGGCAATAAACAACGGAGTCTTGGTATTCACGTAAGCCTCGAACGATCACATTGTTATATTTTACGACTTGTCAACGAAATCTAAGAATAGTATCAATAGGAAAGACTGGTTGCGAGCAAACATTGGAGATCAGAGGTAGGAGCAACAACGGAGTTGGCGTACCGGTGAGTTTTGTATTAATTATATGATTTTACTGAGCAAAGTATAAAGCTGCATGCATATACTTTATTACTTTACTTACACTTTTATTAATTATATTTTATAAACCTCGTCTGGATATTGTCTGCCATTTCGAAATTCATTCAGAGACAAATTAGCTGGCAAATGAAAACGCTCAGGTCTTAATGTGCAACCGTCATCGATAAGTAGCAGTATCAGTGCATAGCATCAAAATTAAAGGTCTATAATTGCGAATAAATATAGATAGAGTAATGTAAGGGCGGATGCGAGCGGATAAGCGTTGAATTTGTACTAGCGATTTCCTGCGTACATGCACACGTCGTGTATACACGTATCGCGGTTAAGTCGGTACGAGAGGCCCGCGGTACGGTCGCTTCGATTAGCAATTAACGAGGAAGTCGTAACTCCTTACGAACAGAGGGAGGAAAGAATCGGCAGGCTTTATCAGAATGGAAATTGCTAACGGTGCGCCGCGCTGCCAATTAGAGTCGCGAGAACAAACGACCTCGTCCGACTTCTTCTTTCGACGCGATCTCCACGACGAGCTACGCGAATTCTATCGCTCGTAGGAGTATATAATGTTATGCACGAGCCTAATGCGATTTAAGAGCAGCTGTCGCATTATATGGTTTATAGCCGAACCGATTTTTGGCGCCGCAATTGTGCTTTACGTTGCGTGCTACCATTACGGTGAACGCTACGAGGCAATCGTTACCCCAGTTAATAGAAAGTAACTGGGAACAAGAATACTTTGTCATAAGGGCACTTCGTCAGTTTATCATACGTTCTTCTAATGTACGCTTACGTTCTACTTTTTCATTTAAATCTTTGTCAATTGACAAAGGAAAATTATCAATTTTGATTTGGATATCAACTTTTCGTATCACGTTTAATGCTTCGTTTCACTTTCGCGAAACGAGCAATTTGTCCATGTATTTACGACACACGGTCATCATTTATCGAGGCGAAAACATCGTTTTACCTCGTAATTATAGCCTACTCTGATTTCCATTTTTTTTTATCAGCGCGTTGATGGATCTTATATCATTCCTGAGATGCATTTAAGGTTTTCGCGCATTGAAAATCGGATTAGAAGTAAAAAATTGCGATCTGCATATTCTATTATTCACGTAATCGGAATTACAATATGAATCAATGGTTCCATTCGATGAAAGAAAACTGAGTGGATTAGCGATAATCGGTCTTACCTTAACGGTTTGTCCAGCCTTCAGGGTTGGTTTGTCAGGATCAGGGACGTAGTCCAACGTGATCCCATAAAATTGTCCTTTGTTGATGTACGTGATTCTGTCGTCCTCGCGGCGTTGCGACGTGCTAATAGGCGACTCCAGGTGGTATTTGAACCCGTAAGCGGAGAATCTGCGTTCAGACGTTATTATTATTATCACCGATCCGTCTTCACTAATTGCAATAATTCGATGTTCACACTGACAGTTTTAACGACACGTTGATTTATCGATAATGAGCAAAAAAAGAACTGATTGCCATATCGACCATGGCTATCGATTGTATAAACATATTGCCTCGTTGTCTAGCCATCGTGAGAAACCTGTAATCTTCATATATTAAAATTAAATCGCGGTAACGTTACTCGCGATCAGATCACTTTTTCTCATTACAAATATAGACGCAACGTTTCTGTGACGCTCAAATAGTTCTTCTATATTTACCTTCGGAATATTGCTTATTAAATTTTAAGTAGAGACGATCTATCTGAGAAACCGCTTTTGCGGTTCCCGTAGCAAAATGTATTTCGAGTGATGTCAATTATTCTGAAATGAGCGCATGCGACTGTTTTCGTTACTTCACTGATCGAATCATTACGTATTAAGGATGTATTGGCTGTACAGTCAATTCCAAAAGTTTATGTACCTTAGAAAAACGCATTTCCTATAATTAAAAAGAAATCAGACGTCGGAAGAATAATGCTAATAATAAATAGCTACATGCTAAAAAGTATAGAACGAAATATCCAATT